GACTCGCTTCATTTAGACGTGACTTGAAAAGGATTTTACAAATGAACCTAAGCCACAAGACATGTCAAAGACTTAAAACTGTCCAACGTCTAAAACAAGATCGTTAAAATGAATTTGAAACAGAATTTCCTTTAATATGGATTTCTATTGCCGAAACACTTGTATACACGCATATTAGTAATCTTATTCTTTGAAAAAAAAAAAACAAAAGTGAAAAGTGTTTTACAGTGGTAGAGCCCGCTTTAACATCTTTGCACGAATCAGCCCGGCTCGCCCGGTGAAATACAACGACCACACAGAAGACAGGCGTTAAGTGGAAGCAATTCCGCTTTTCGTCTGATGAGTGTGCGTCCCGGAGGCCTAATTTAGTCCTCTTTCCCTTCCCATCCTTTTCTTTATAAGGAAAGGATGGGAAGTGGAACTGCACTTTCCGGATAAGAGGATGCAAGGAAAGGGAAGATATTTTCTTTCTGTGCATCCTCACCTCCGTCGATTAAAGGTAGGCAACGCATATGCAATTGCGTATGACTATGGGCAACGGTCGCTTCGCTATTTCAGCGATTTGGAGTGGCCGCTCGTTCGTTTGCCACCTTATCATATAAAAAAAATAATTTGCAACATCTGTACAATTTTCCGCGTCATTAATAAATAACCCTTTACTTTAAGTAATAATCAAAACTTTAATTATAGCTGGTGACAGCTAGTATATTTTAAACTGAGGTTTTGAAGTCAGAAACCCACGGTAAGAAAATAGAATTATTTTCTTCGGAAATCATCAAATCAATTGCCATCAATTCTTAACCCGTTCCGTACAATGCATGTCCGTGACATCGGTTACGATTCGACGATTAATGATTGAAATTTCCCCTAAAATTCCCCGCTCTAACTGATCCATCTATCATCCATTATCTTAAGCTGTCGATTGCGAATCGGGATAACGATAAGTATTAATAGCAATTCAAACAATCATGTTTGAATTTAAATCATGCCTGAGATTGATTTGTGTATATTTTACGTAAGTACGGCTTGCTTAGTCGCGGAAATTAATTTCGTAGATGTTTCCTACCAAATTCGATCCTATTTTCTTTTATTGCTATTCATCATCAGCGCACTCTACGTCCCCACCGAGGCGCTCGGAGCCTAGCCTAAGTTAAGGGTGATTAGGCCATAGTCAACCACAATGGCCAAGTGTGGGTTGACTTCACACATATCTTTGAAATTTTTCTTAGATATGTGCAGGTTGCATCACGATGTTTTCCTTCACCGTAAGAACGTCGGATAAATGTACATTGTGTAAATTGGAAATCGAAAAGCACATTGGTACATGGCGGGATTCGAACCCAGGACCTGCAGATTGCAAGTCAAGGGCTTAATCACTGCGCCACCGACGCACAATTTCTTTATTGCTAATTATGTGATTAATGACTTAAAAATGTAGAGATGAACGAACATAGTTACTTTATCATCAACATGCTACAGCCGCAGGTGTGCTTGGACCTGGTCTGGTAAATTTCTCCACACAGATCTATTTTCAGCTTTTTGAATCCAGCTCTTAATGCTGATATTTTTATACCGCGCTCGACGTCATCTAGCCATACTTTCGGTCTACCACATGCTCTACATCCCTCCTTACTCTCCATGCGTGCTACATGACAAAGTTATTACGCGAATACCTAAAAACAAAATTGCATAAAATTCACTTTATAATATATTTTTCAGTTGGTTTAAAAACTGAAAAATAAATTTGTTGAAATATTTCAATTGATATCAAACACGGGACAGTTTAAAGTAAAATATGCACCCGTGAACTCAACAGTGCCATATACTAAATGAAACTTATCAATACAACGGAAACACGTCGCATGGACTGAGCATCGCATCACGCTGCACCGACGCGCCGAACTGACGGCGGCTATTTACTTGTTAAATTATTGTTATTTTTCATACTGATGGTTTGTGTAGCATTGAAAAGTGTTTTTTCGTGAATTTTATACACTTTAAATGTTTTAGAATTCATTTACGTAAGCAAATTAAATAATTAAAATTACCATAAAGACTTTTGGTTTAACTAAATCCCGTTACACTTTTCAAAATATTCATCTTTATTTAAAAATCAATTGCTGTTGGTTAGTCTCGCTAAAACTCGAGAACAGATTTATCTTATCTTGGTTTTGAAATGTTCGTGGAGGTCTAGAAAAGGTCTAGATGAGAAAAAATCAAATAATTGCCGGGAACTATTTTTTTCATTACATGCGGACGGAGTCGCGTACGACAGCTAGTTTTTAATAAAAATTAGCACGATAAATAAAAAAAGGATGTATTTTCGCTATTCATTTATTTCTCTTGGACTGTTTCGTTAATCTTTTACGGTACATGATTCAATAATTGGACGTGAATCAAGAATAAAAACTTTCCTCAATAAATCCATTAGTATTATCAAATGAGTTAAGGTCGTAAAGAAAAGTGCGTATGCTTAATAGGTATAAAAATATCTGCAATTCATCTGATATTAATATCATAAGTTAGCTTATAAAAACTCATACTATAGTACTCTGGCCTAATAATCTTAATATGAAGCCTAACATTCATATTATTTTATATGCATGGACCGATATTGTTCCATTTTATTTACTCACGTGCATCATCTTTTTATATATAAAAAAAGTCGTGTTAGTTTCACTATTTGTAACTCAAGAACGGCTTTACCGATATGGCTGAATTGGTAAAGTGGTAGCATAGAGCCAGGAGACGGACATAGGATACTATTCATTAATTTTTCGAATTTATGCCTTGAAGAGCTGCTTCTTATTTAACTTACTAATATTATAAATGCGAATGTTTAGATGGATGTGATGTGGATGGATGGGTGTTTGAAGATATCTCTAGAACGGCCGAATGGATCTCGATTAAACTTGGCGTACGTCTGAAAGGGCACATAGGCTATACTAATTAAGTTTTTTTATATATCCACGCGGACGGAGTCGCGGGCGACAGCTATTTTACAATAGTGTTTATGTTTCATTAGACTTTTGTGTTTATGCGTCAAAGAATTATCGAGACCGGGCACAAAGCCAATGTACAGTCGCATCGCCTTGACAAATAACAACCAGACGTTCAAAAAATATTCCACACGTATTGTTAACACATTTCTAATTAATTATCGTTCTAAAAACGTTATGCTAAAATCATTAGAAATATCTTACTAATATTATTAATGCGAGAGTTAAGACGAACAGATGAATATTTGTAAGACGGTATATCCAGAACGGTTTAATAGATCTGGATGAAAGGCATAGATGTAAGACATAGTCTGGAAGAACACATAGGCTGATTAAGTTTTTTAGGGTGCCGTATGTCATAGAAAAAAAAACGGAAACTTTATTGGATCACTTTTTTGTCCGTCCGTCTGTCTGTCAAGACCCTTTTTCTTAAAAAGGCGTGAAGGTATCAAGCTGGAATTTATTTTAATTTCGCGCAGACGGAGACATGGGCGTTAAATTTTTGAATATTTATTTGCTATCACAGTTGTAATATTAATAAAATAATATGGGTATATTATTACAGCAAAAACATAAAGTTTAAATTTAAAACGGTTTCGTAAATTCGAAATGCTTCGATACGAATCGTTTTTTAAAAATAAAACAAAGAATGAATTTGAATTTACAAAAGAAATCACATTGATGCGACGCCTCGTGCGCTTGAACATATGCAAAACATGCTTTAGAAAATCTTCAAACCGAGGAGCAACGCCATTCAATGAATTTAGATTGAACTCGCCGGACAATCTACACGTTAGAGACAAAATATTTTTGACGTCATATAAAATACCATCTTAATATGTACTCATTCACTATTTAGCGAAATAGAGTGTGATAAATATAAGAGCTTCTTTGGTAGCTAATTTGGTCTACTGCATGTATGTACACTCATCAGATTAAACGTGGAAATATTTCCAGTTGAAGCGTGTCATGTGGTCGTATTACTGCAGTGGCTTATTACTGTCAGGAGAAACTTCTAGGTAGCAGTATACTTTTTTAGGTCTATTGTCTTGTAACAAATGACCTCTTTATTTGTCACCTCTTTGATAAAGTGTTTTGTATGATATTAAAAGTTAAAAGAAGCAAAGAAAAATAAGACGATAATTTATACAAAAATAAGCTGTTAAAATAAACTGTTTAGCGCATTCCAATTCAACATAAGATAGAATTAAAAATCTATGAGCTACTCTTAGTCAAAAGCATTCTCTGATTGCTTATACAGCATTCTTGTTGAGAACGGTATTTAAAAACTAAAGTTTGATGTCGACACTATGTTAGTAATCGACGCAATATCAAGTTTTGGCGCTTTGCCATCTACACCATTACCGTTGACTTCTCCGCTTAATTCTTTTCTATTCAACTAAATCTGTTGTACTTTGAAGATTAATTTCAGTTATTCGGTTGGTTATTTATATATTATTAGATGGGAAACGAACAAGCGAACAACCGGAGTCACTGAAATAGTGAAGCGACCGCTACCCATAGCAATTGCAGATGTGTTGCCTACCTTTAATCGACGGAGACGCATACAAAGAGAATGTTTCCCCTTCCTGCACGTCACCTTCTGCGTCAAATCCATTGAAAGAAGATTAAAATTAGGCTTCTTAGCATAATTAAGCAAACTAGTAGCATGTCATCTAATCTCTTGTGATACTCACATGAACATCGGTAAAACCAAATTAATTAAGCCCAGATGCATTGTCAGATTTTTGGGGAAATGCTATTTGTTATGTTTGAAGGGTTTTCTTTTAACTTGAATAAAATTCTTCTCTTGTTTTTAAGTAAATTGGAGTGTATAAGAAGTATAAGAAACAATTTAAATCTGTTAAGTTATATAGAAGGTGCCGTTCAAGAAAATTAGGACATAATTTTAATACATTTTTTTTAGATTTAATGGTAATTGATTTTCTTAGTATATTTTTGCAATGATTTTAAATTTAGAAATTTTCTCTTTTGTTACAGAATAACCGACAGACTCCAATTCAAGGAATTCGACATTCATGCCAAGAAATATAAGGATAGTTCCAGACTAAACGTGCATTGCGATAACCAAATGGCATTTCATTGTAAAATCTATAAGTAAAGTTTGACAATCGAAGTGGTATTAAAAAGTGGTGTTTGATATGTGCTAGCTGCGTGTCTTAATGGTGTGGCCACTACGAATGCCGGCGAAGGGGCCTATAGGCCGGCAGGTCAATGACATCGCCGGCACTTCTTGTGCTATCTCTCTTCCTCGGTAAGTATATACAGGGTGATATTTTTGACAACCTGGAAGATACTGTATATACAGTGTGATTCAAATATACTTACTTCTATTTTAACGAAGCCGCGTTCCGGACTCGGTTCGAACGCTAACTATAATAATAAAAAAAAAATTGTATCCTTTACTCATATAGAGTCAATCAATAGTGTTGATGATAAGGAATCTCTGAGAAAATGCATGGAAAAGTAAAATATATATAATTTTTGTTTTAAATATATAAACCTTGTGAACTGTTGCCTGTGTTTTGTGAGGTCACGGCATTTCACCGGTCACGATGTTCATTCATGCAACAAATGTTGCGAACTCTACCATTTAACTTCTTCAAGCAAAAAGAATAATTTTATTTAATGCCAAATGTCTTGTTAAAAAGTTAATTGCTACATTGTAAAGAAGTCAAACAATAGGACCGCTATTTGTGTCTTGAAGTCAAAAGTAGGTTAACAGACCCCTTGAACTTATTTGAACCAAACAGCTTTAATTTAGTAGAAGATCTTTTATGCAGCAAAATAATCTATTTATAACCTTAAATAATTTCCATTAACTTCTAAAAACAGAAACCATCTTTAATCAAAAACAAATTAAGCTAAACCAACATTTAGAGAAAGAAAACAAATCGAACGATGTCCCAACTTCATCGGTCAAGCTGTTTAGGTTAGGGAACATACCCATACTACGTGACCTATATTTTTTAGTTTTCTCTAAGTTTTTTAACACTGCATGCATACTTAAATTACTAGTTGTTTGGGCTGCTTGAAGCTAGGTAGCACCCGGAAAGGCACTAACTACCCGACGCCTGGGAAAAGCTCCCAATTGGGTGACCGGTGCGCATAAAACAAAGCGAGAACCTCGTATTGTACCTCGCGATTGATTGTAATTTTACCTTTTCGTCGCCAACACTAGTGAATTATGAATTATAAAAAAGAACGACTACGTGACGAAAACCTGAGCCATCTCCCCCAGCTCCTGTGACAACGTAGTATTTTAAAGACTCCTCGCCCCCTCCAACGGGTCACTTAGTATGGGTACGTTCCCTTATACAATGCAAACAAAGTTATTTGTGTCGGTGAATGTGGCGCTGTTATCCCAGGCTATTCTATCATATGAAACATAACATAAACAGATACAGTCTGGAAATTGATCTTTGTTATAATGTCGTTTAATTTTTTTTTACTTCTACGCAACTAAAACTATAAATAAATTATATACTAAAAGTAAACCAAACTAAGTAATAAAAAAAATCGACCCCAAATCGCTGCGCTCGCACCGTAGGGTTCCCAAGAGGCTGGCGACATTTCCCTGTTGAATGGCCAGGCTCAACCTTTGTCGGAAAATTATGAATCGATCTTATGCTACTTCTTTACTGAGTCTATTGGGGGCCAATAATCTATTTTACTTTAGTTACATTTAGTCTCCCTCCTACCTTAGAGTTACCTTTAGGGCTAGGTTACTAACTTAGAGTAGGCTCCGTGCCCCTCGGTGGGGACGTATAGTAAGCTGGTGATGAATGAATGAATGATTTACGGTCATCGGGTCAGATTTTATCGTTCTTTACCTTTAAGTAGTCGGTTAATAAGTACAGTAACTGATGAAGTATTTAATTTTCCAAGTCATCATCATCAGCTTACTATACGTCCCCACCGAGAGGTTCGGAGTCTACCCTAAGTTAAGGGTGATTAGGCCATAGTCAACCACGCTGGCCAAGTGCGGGTTGGTTGACTTCACACATATCTTGGAAATTCTTCTCATATATGTGCAGGTTGCATCACGATGTTTTCCTTCACCGTAAAAACGTCTGATAAATGTACATATGTAAATCGGAAATCGAAAAACACATCGGTACATGGCGGGATTCGAACCAAGAATCTGCAGATTGCAAGTGAAGTGCTTGACCACTGAGCCACCGACGTTCTGTTCCAAGTAGCAATATTAATGTAAGAGACACCAACATAGGTCAATTAATGTATAATTTCCTTAAGATGAATTTGAGTTCGAATTTTCATTACTCGCTTGCGTCAATTCAAACAATTTCCGGTTTGGTATGAAGAATTTCTTAAGTAATCAAGTACGTAAAAGCAATCAAAGATTCTATCTCACAAAATATTACATTATGATTTTATTATAAGTTACCGGGTAAAAGTTTTAATGAAATAGAAATTTTTAGACAATTGACAATCAAGCGCATTTTTTATTAGCAGCAAAAAGTTCGGACGTATAGATGGATGTTAGAAGATATAAATTTGGTATGGATGAAGAAGCACTTGACTTGCAATCTGCAGGTCCTGGGTTCGAATCCCGCCATGTACCAATGTGTTTTTTGATTTCCGATTTACATATGTACATTTATACGACGTTCTTACGGTGAAGGAAAACATCGTGATGCTGCATATATCTGAGACGAATTTCAAAGATATGTGTGAAGTCAACCAACTCGCACTGGGCCAGCGTGGTTGACTATGGCGTAATTACCCTTAACTTAGGGTAGGCTCCGAGCCCGTCGGTGGGGACGTATAGTGAGCTGATGATGGATGTAGAACATAGTCTGGAAGATCACAGTCTACTACTAAAGATTTTTATAATTCCGCGCGGACGGAGTTGCGGGCGACAACTATAATAGTTATTAAATAAATATTTGAGTTGCAAAATATTTTTACATATATTATAAATGTGATTGTTTGAAACCATATAAATCTAGAACAGCAAAATAGATCTGAACGTATTATAATTTGATTAATAGATTGATTACAGTTTGGTATAGCGCGAAGGCATATTTTTTTTCATGCGAACGTCTTGGACAAATGTTATACTGGTTGTTATCGTAAATCAACTTTTTTGTAGTGTTTTTTTTACCTCAAATAGCCTATATAAAAAGGGTCACATGGAATAAACTGAGTAACCTAATTTTAATAACGTCTCGGTGACACTTGGCCCGTCGCCAACGAAAGCGGCTGTCTCATTTAATGTGGATAAATATAAAACAGTATGTTTTTCCACGTTCATGTTGAACTATCGTCTTTAAGAAATCTTATATATAATAATTGAAGTTTAGTTTTCTCCACTTTCTAGACTACTGAAATATTAAGTGTGAATGAGGCCTTATTAAAGCGCCAATAGCCTAATGCTTTAGGGTACGGATTTTCGGTCATGTAGTCGAGAGTTCGAACCCCGCTATTCGACTATTGTTCTCAACCATATCTTAGCAAAAGTGTAGAGCTTATTTGAAATGGTACAAGAAAGATTACTTAATTAAAAAAAATCTGCTAATAAAAAAATATAAAGAAGTTCCAACCTTCAGTTTCTTAATTTTTATTCTTATCTCTTGATCTTCGATTTCTTAGCGTTAGTCTGTATGTATTTACATCATTAGCTTTCTGCTTATAGTTTCGATAGGATTTTTTTTATAATAGAAGGGGGCAAACGAGCAGCGGGAACACCGAGGTGTTTAACTACGCTTATGGACATCAGCAATACCAGAGGAACCGCAGATGCGTTGCCGGCCTTTGAGGATATAAAACTGTCAATTCTTTTATAAGAGATCGATGTTCTTAAAAATTACTCTTAGTTTGATGTCCCCGCCTTTATGATGTTCTTTACGATAATGTCATACGATATTACTTTTAGGAGGAGTTTTAAACGATGTTTCCTTTTAATGATTGCTTCAATATATTTTAGATTTTTGGCTTAAACGCACTAAAAAAAACTAAACTTATAACTTATATAATGTAACCGTAGTGTAAAATTTAACAGTGGTGGAGCCCACTTTAACATCTTCGCACGAATTGGCCTGGTTCGCCCGGTGAAATACCACGGCCACACAGAAGACAGGCGTGAAGTGGAAGCAATTTCGCGTTTCGTCTGATGAGTGTGCGTCCCGGAGGCCTAATTTAGTCCTCTTTCCCCCGCCCTTTTTCTGATAAGGAAAGGACGGGAAATGGAAGTGGACTTTCCCGATGAGAGAATGCATGGAAGGGGATGATATTTTCTTTCTGTGCACCCTCTCCTCCGTCGATTAAAGGTAGGCAACGCATATGCAATTGCGTATGTTTATGGGCAACGGTCACTTCGCTATTTCAGCGATTTCAGGTGGCCGCTAGCTCGTTTGTCACCTTATGATATAAGAAAAAACCGTAGAATTTGACTACTGTTATATTTGTATTAATATATTTGTTGTCTCTTTTCTGTCAAAGATAATGTTAAGGGATGACAATACAGTTTCTAAGTTTCACGGCAGTAAAGTTCCACGGTTAGAATTTGCAATTTTAATTTTATTTTACAGAATAAAGGATTACTAAATCAATTAACATTTGTAATTTTGAAAATATAATAAACTCAGTTTTAATTAAAAATAACACTCGTTTACACTAGTCTGTTAAAAGTAGATTGGAACAGGTCCCCCGAGGGCTCAGGCGGCGGTTTTGGCTAATTTATTCATCAACCGTCTCAAATTTACGTAAACTTTGCTTCACTTATTTTTACAGAATCTAAATTGTGTTCGTCTTAGGAGGAAATTTTATAATTTTTGCATTTTTATCTTTAAGCATATTCCTCTTTTACACAATCTATTCATAATTCTTCACCTTCAGTCTTCCTCCACTTTCGGTACACATAACGGTCACATAACGTAGTAACGTTATATACTTTAATAGTAAAAAAGAAGATACCATAACGTCCCCTAACCTTTTTTTCCCTCGGTGGGGACGCGGTAGTTATGTGGGATTCTCTTCCGGATGGGAAGCATACCCACTAAACCCCTCTATTCCTCCTACGCATCATGGCTTTCGTCCGCAACCTTCCCTGCAACGTCCCCTAACCTTTTTTTCAGAGGGGAATGCTTTATACATACTCCGTGCCCCCGGTGGGGGGGGGGATACGACGCGGTAGTTAAGTGGGATTTTCCTCCTGATGGGAAGCATACCCTCTGTTCCTCCTGCGAATCATGGCGAGGCCACGGGCACGCTTGCACTTTCGTCCGCGACCTTCCCTGCAACGTCCCCTAACCTAGACATGTTGGCTGACATAGACAAATAGACTAAATGAGTTCGTACGTTATTGTAATTTGTCGATTTATGCTCAATATTAGTTTTTTTTTTTATTAGGGAAGAGAGCAAACGAACTCTGACGACAGAAGCAACGTTCATGAATGACCATCGGCATCACGCTTGACTGGAACTGTAGATTTAGATAGAAAGTTATTTTGATAATCCTATTAGGTCGTGCCAGCCCTAAGGAAGTTCTGGAAATCCCGATGTTACGCAATTTAGATATACATACAATCGTTAAATCACTGCTTGAGTCAACGGTTGCGTCAACTCTGCATTTGTTAGTTTGAATAACTTCGCTTGCTCGATAGCTGTGAAATTGAATTTCAATATTCGACAGTTCTATTTCGTATGAAATTCGTTTTTGTTTACAAAAAAAAAAGAAGTATTTTACAAAATTTTTACGTACATTTTGATACACACTTGTATTTTAAGACGAGAATAGTTAACCCTGAATTTGAAATAGCTTAAGAATCCGTTGCGACACACAGATATCGCTAATTAAACTTAATTTAATTCGCTAACCTTGGGTTTCTGAGTCCAAAATCTCCGTTTTAAAAATATCGTCATCTCTTTCATAATATTTGACAACACACAGAAAACAATTTTAAACGGAGACTTTAGACTCCGAAACCTGCGGCAAATCTACAGATACCTCATTTAGTACCACTAATTATAAGAAAGTAGAAGTAAAGTAAAATATGTAGTCGACATGTCTTTTCAAGAGGAAGAAGCGAGTCCACTAGTAACTAAAAGAAGAAGAAGAAGAAGAAGCGAGACGGAAGTATAACAATTATTTTTTGTTTCAGTTTGCTCAGTCTTCGGAATGATAACGGTACATACAGGTCATGACAACAATTCAAAACAAAAGAATATCGTAAATAATACATTAATTAAAGAAGTAAATATGAGAAATCTAACAATGGAGACTTTGAGGACCAAAACATTAGAAAATAGATATGTAAGCTTTGATGAAAATATCGAAGAACTGAGAAATAATTTTACATACAAATACGACGATATATACACTGCCGATGATGACCTTATATATAGTAAAATAAATATAAATAAATCATTACATAATATAATTGATAGACGAAGAATTGTACGAAGAAATGAAGGTAGTAGAATTTTAAGAGAGATATTAAGACCAAGGAGACGATTTAAGAGAGAAGAAGATTCAGAAAGATGTGAAACATTCTATTACCAAAAAGGTAGGACGCAAATAAGTCATCCGTATTCAAAAAACGACACAAACAAATTATATTACGGTGACATAGATTGCACAACGACAATTGAAGGTGAGTACAAATATTAAAAATCTATTAAAAAAAAAACAATAGAACGTAGACCATGATACGAATAGAATGACACCTTCCTTGTCAAAATCGAATTAGTCCTTAAAGTTAACGGTGGTCACGATGGAATACATACAAACTCATAAATATCTCCCTAAAGCTAGTCAGGTAAAAATCATGCAAAAGGCTACCCTTTATCTATTAACTATATAAAATAACTAGCTATCGCCCGCGACTCCATGTGCGCGGGATTAAAGTATTTAAATCTTGTCATTGTTTCAGGTCCTGAAGGAAGTGTGATAAAATTAACATTTGTTGATATTTTTCACATAGAAGACCATCCAGAATGTGCTTATGATTTCTTAGAAGTGAGTTATCTACACATTTCTTAACACATAACTACTTAACCCTCTCTGACAGTCACATTCAGAGATGTGGCTCGCTGAGGAAGTCAATGAGGAATTAGTGTCAGAATTCTACTTTCTGGGACGCCTTGCGGCAATAGTTCAATAGACGGAGGTTTTGGTGGAGGAAGGGATGCATAAAATGAGGAAATATTCTCATTTTGGGCGTTACTTCCTCTGCCTATTAAGAGTAGGCAATGCATCTAAAAATGCAGATTTCTATAGTCATCGATTGCTTTGCTTTCTTGGCAA